GGGGTTTCCAAAGGCGGAGGGGCAAAAAATGATGGCACGGGGTTTCTAAGAGACTGCAGGCAAGCGGGGATCGTGATCTTTTGGAATCAGACCCCACTCACGGTAGGCACCGAGAGATGATCGAAGTGCAGAAAACCCCCGCCCCTTCGGAAAAGGGGAACCATTTCCGGTTTCCCGCTCCCCCCCTTGTTGGATATCCTTTACGAACGTTGTGACCAGCCCACATTTTTTTTTTGTTGTGGTTTTTGTGCTCGGGGCTAGTCGGCGCCCCGCTTCGTAATGCCGGGAAGAAGATCCCTTGCGGCCATGCGCCTTGCTTTTGGCGACTGGTAAAAAAAAGCCGACCGCCCCATAAACAATGGAAAATATTGGACGTAAATTTTTAAAAAAAAACCCAAAAAACCCGAGGCTTTGGGGGGGGGGTTCTAAACGTCTTGAAAAGGACACAACAACTTGTTTTTTTTCAAAAATACCATTCTTTAAATTTTCCCATTGCCAAAAGGGTTTTTCGCCCCATTTTTTTAAAACAAGGCAAGGGGGTTCTGCTAAAAAATGGGGTTAAAAATCGGCATTGCAAGCCGTCGTACCCCATGCCAAAACCCGACCCCATACCCCAATTTGTCAAAAAAATATGTCCCGTCTGTTTTGGACAGTTAAAATTTTTAAAAACATTTTAAAAAATATGAATTTTTATAAAAACAAATTATCATATACGACCTATGCTCTGTTCAGGGGACTGGATGTGGCATAAAGAAATAACGAAGCGAAAATTTTTTTTGCTTTAATGTGGAAAAAAGGGGATTCAAAAGTGCTTTTGAAACGGGAAAAATTGCTCATAGATTTTTACGTACCCAGGGGGGGGGGGGGGGGGGGGTTAGTTGCTATCTTTTAACAGGACGTTGCGAACCAACCCCCCGCTTTTGGTGTGTGGCTGTTTTGGTTTTTCCCAGGGAAATTTCGTCCTAGTTTTCCATTGTTTTAGCAACTGAGAAAAAAAAGTAAAAATGAAGGTCTTTGTCACGCTACTGTGCCATCTAGCAAATGGTACTAGTAATTTCTTTACCGCTTCGGATGTCGAGGGAGATATCTAGGTTTTGCTTTTTGCTCTTCTGGCATTCTCAACCAAAAAAAAAAAATGTCACACCTTGTCGCATCACAGCACACACCCCTCTGATCTTGACCTTGCGACATCTTTTACGTGTCTATTTTAATGAGATGATTTCAAATCTTGGACTTTAAATAGTCTCTCTTTTTTACTTATGTTTCAAGATGTCGGTTTAAGTACTCAGTTGTATACTAATTCTCTCAGGAATGACATGTATTTAAATTCAGTCATATAGGTGGGAGATTTACTTATAGTGAAGCTAAATTCCATTGGCCCAACTACCGCTTTGATAAATCCCTTTCCGTCTCTAGCTGGAGAGACGGTTAGATTTGGGACTCTTGACTGGGCTTCTAGACTGAGAAGACCTTGCTGCTTTATATGTATATCTGCTTACCTCCGTTTGAATAACCGACTCACCCGGGAACGTCCATGAGCTTGGGATGTTATTAATATCTGGAGGCCAAGTCAACGATCAGTATCCCAAAACACATCACGTGAAACCAGCATACAGCCTGCAGTATGAGGGATCCTCAATGACCCCCCTCACGCATGTCCACGCACCATTGTCAAGTGTTACATAAGTCAACTGGGACTGTATGATCACCATTAGCTTGAGTCCTCAACCCAGGAATTTTGTGTGGTCATGCTGCCAACTACTGCCAGGACAAGAGGGTGGCCTAGACTCTTTGATAATCCAAAACAATTAATAGATAACTCAGAACTTTATTCCGTGAGATTACTATTAACCCCAAAAACTCTAGATTGTGTTCAAATCTCTATTTGCATGTGTTACCAACACCAGTGACTGATGAACTATGTTATTAATGGTGAATTCACAAGATTGTGTACCGAATCAAAATGCGGTTAATCCTAACACTGAGTGCCAGTTATCTAGATCCAACTTTCCAGGAGTCCATCTGAAATAGAGTATTCTTGGCTTCCGTAGCTGGATTACTTTATCTTGCTGAATTCATTCATTTACTTCCTTACTTGTAGTGCACTGATTACATGATGTTTTAATATTTTACATTCTGGGGTTAGTGTCTATCCTTCACAGCTCTTAAGTTTTCTTGAATGTGTGTGGTATTGTGTAATTCATGTTATACTGTGTTAATTTGACTCGCATAGGAGTACTATCTAGTCTGGAGGCGTAAAAGTAGTGGGGAAGTCAGACCATGTTGCGTCTAGGAATGCTTCTGAATTCTGTAGTGTCATAATTTGAGTCGCCTCACCTCTGAAGTAGGCTGGATGCTCTTTGGAGCAGCGGTATATCGCCCAGACCTTTGCGAGTCAACATCTCAACCCTTAAGCCACTTCAAAGTGTCTTTTAGTTCGGTAGTGAAAACCCTAACAAAGACACATGACACAAGCGTTATGTGACACGCCCTTAGGCAGATTTGGTATATTATGCCAGGGGGATAAACTGATATCTGAAGACAGATGTCGACTGTGGACCGGGTTGATCACCTCTAACACAGTATAATACCTCCGATTTCGTACAACCACATAGAAATATGCCCCCAGGGCCCTCCGAAAAGGGGGGGGGGAGAATGAAGGGCCCAATCAAATTGATACTCTCGGTGACGACTATGCTAGCTCCGACTCAGATACTCGCCCAACGTCCGGGCTGGCTCTGTACATGTGGGAAAAGCTTCACGTGGTTGCATGGTCTGAGAACGCATGCCGGAAGAATGAAATGCGAGGGTGCTCCACGCAGTAAAACGCCGTCGCCGTCGCAAACTACTACTCGTGTGGTAGTGTTTCTGAGTCGTCAGGGAACGACGGGGCTGGTTGAACCCCCACTCGTCCGGAGAGGCCCATGACGTCGACTGCGGAGGAGCACATTTGATGATTTCTGGAGGAAGTGCGTTCCAAGATTAGGTTTCCACCTGCGAGCGATAAGGTGGTGTGGTGTAAGTTGGAGGCTACATTATGTGAAGATACTTAACATGATTTTTAACAAGAAGTCGTTAGGCGACAAGTTTACAAAATTTGGTAATGTTATATATGAACACTGCTCCCGCGAGTTCGGGACAGTGCAGAAGGCACAGCCGGGTGCCAAGCAAAATACTAGCAGGAGGCAGAGGGACATTCTGAAGTGTCGGGCAGACAAGAATGCCCTCAGAAAACGGTTCAAAGCCGCTACAGGTAGCGAACGGGAGGGGTTGTACGAAGTCTGGTTGCATTTAAAGAACAGACACAGTGCCCTCTGGTTGGTTTGTTACCCTGAAAACTAATGCCTAAAAGGATGGGCATATGTAAATACTATCTTGTCAAAATGTTATTAGGCCAAAGAAAAACGTAAAATTAATTATAAGTACAAGCTCTATGCAAATAAAGAAACGACATACTTGCAATGAAAATAAATAACTGACCATAACCACCGATATATTATAAAAGGATAGGTTTGTGTAATTACGATGTTTTCAATGTGTGCACTGGCTCAGGTCAAATGATAATAAGATCTGTCGCTGAAGGACGGGGATAGTTTTCCCTCATAGTGCCTGATATGTGGCGCTATTTCCAAACATGACAACATGTCGTAAGCGTATTAGATAGAGGCAATTCATGATCATCGAAGCGAACCAGTGAACCATTTGAGGAGTCACCAAACCACGACTATCACACCCTCTTATTAAATTAGCACTTGGAGCTGCAATACATAGATACCATTCATAGTTAATGTTGTCTGCGTTATTAGATCATATGGGAGCAATTAAGCAAAATACTATAGAAAAGTACATACAAGTAAAAAAAAACGTATATACAAACACCCATGCATGTAATAGTGTATAGAATATATGACATAATGCAGTTAGGTTTACTTGACTGTAATTTTAGTCTCAAAGCAGATAGCGCTATCGAGATGTGAAATTTAACATCTTCTCTTTGTCTTCTCAGGCAATTCAAAGACTCTCTTCAACGTTTACATTTACCACTATGATTAATACGAGATAGGGAGCATGTGAGGGTGAGGACCTAAAGTCGCTTTGTTAAAGCGCAGTTCTCACAAATTGTTCAGTTAAGGATTTTATTTATGCTTCCACCCCCCCATGCCCCCCCCCCCCCCCCCCCCCCCCACCCCCCCGCCCCCCCCCCCACAAATGCATCCCTTACCGAAGATCCAACCCATGTCTCTGTTGTCGAACCCAGACACTTGTCCCGCCGCTGCTCCTCAAAGAACATTTATAAACTGAGCTGGTGTATATTTCATAGAGGGTAGGGTAGAACAGTTTTACAGGCCAAAAGATTCAGAAGGAAACTCAGCGGGGATACAGTCCAGTTTAGCATTATGGCAAGTAAGAACACCTGTTTTAGAAGTGACAGACAGTACACGTGATAGAAGGTGGTGGAGAGGTATGATTCTTTTCATCCTCTTATTGAGCATAAACGTTCAACCAACTCACATCAAGTCGTTCAACCTTTCTCTAACGCATGCAGCTCGCCTCATGTCCTCCTAATCTATTTTTTTAATGTTACTCTCTACCCCCCTCCCCTTTTCTATGCGTGTTTTTTTTTTAGGTCTGCCTTTATTTCTATGCCCCTGTGGGTTCCTGTGCGAAGACAATTATAGTTATATTGTTCTAAGGTTTTCTCAACGTGTGTCCTATCCAACGGAAAGTTCAGTAATGCCTTGCATGTACATAAATGCCTGCTTGCTGATAGAAAGACACACACACACACACACAAACACACACAGAGAG